CTGGCACTAAGTAGATTGGATGTGTGTGTACCCTACAGCCTGGAAATCCCACTCCAGAGAATATTCCCTGGCAATACTCTTGCCCACATATGCCAAAAAACATATACAGAGCTGTTCACAGCAGCACCGTATGTAATAGCAAAACTCCAGTGGCCATATGGAGTCAGCAAGTAAGTAAACCTAAACCCTGGTGAGTCCCTGCAGTGAGATACCTATGGCCAAAACTGAGAGCCCTGTGATCTTGGAGAAGTTACTTAATCTTTCTGTGCAGGGGTTTTCTCATCAGTAAAATGGGGATGGTACCAATATCTGCCTCGTCGTGTTGGTTGAAGGATCATAAGCAATGTTCAAGAAGCTTTGACGCATGCATGGAACACAGGAAGCCCTCCCCAGAAACATCAATGCTGAGAAGGTTTCTCGACTCCTGCTTTCAAGACACCCCCTCCTGATTCACTTCAAACAATGCTGTCCTTGCTGATCTCCCTCAATTCGCTCCCCCACCTTGACCTCGCCCCACCTGCCACTCCACTCCTGTAACACTGCAAGCTGCCTCTGTGCATGCCCTGGTATGTCCTTCCTACCTCCCTGCCCACGGAACACCTGTCTCCTGTCCTCAGACAGGATTCAGACAACCCCCTCCTCTGCCCTGCCAACCCTCTGGGCATCCACAGCCCCCTAGACTGCAGTCTGCATTCTGACTGTCTGATTACTTGTCTCTTCCCACTAGACTAACAAGATCCATGGAGGAGCTCCCCCCACCCCAAATGCTCAAGAAATTACAATAAGTCCTTTATACATCCAGGCCTTTGGCAGTCTGGCTGTACATAGATTCTGGAGTTGTACAGGCCTAAATTCAAATCCTGACCCCACCCCTTACTGGTTGTGTGACCCTGAGTAGGTCACTAACCGCTGGCAGTTTTCATAGTCAGTAAAATGGACGGTTACTGACTTTTCATGCAATTTTGAAAATTAAATGAGGTCACTTACATGGAGATCCTGACATACAGTAAGCACTCTAATAAAAAGGGCTGTTTCTCTTTCTCTCTCTCTTTCTTTCTAAGCAGTACTTGGTTTTGAATTCAGGGTCCCACACTTGCTAGGCAGATACTCTACCACTAAGACACACCACCAGCTGTTTTTCTTCCTTGTGGGGCTGGGAATCAAACCCAGTGCCTTACGCATGCTAGGCAAGCACTTCACCATTGAGCCAGACCCCCAGCCCCAAGAGCTATTCTCAGGCCACCCACCCACTAAAAATACTCCCTCCTCCCTCCCTCGCCTCTGTCGAAGCTGCACACAGTCTACCTTGTGCCTCGGAGGCTGGGTTGGGCCAGATGAGCTGTGATGGGCAGTCTGAGGGCAGAGCAGGGGACACTGACAAAGCTGCCCTTGCCACACCCCCTCCTACCCCAACCACAGAGCAGATAAAAACTCCCCCACCTCCACCACCACTTCAAACCTCAGTACTGAGAAGGCAATAGCATCCTGGCATCCTCCCCCCCACACACACGCTACCCCTGTGCAAGAGTCTCAATTTCAAGAATACAACACAGCCAGCCTCTCCTATCAACAATGGGACCCAGCAAATGCTCCCCACTTCTCAGAGAAGGGAACCAGGATTCAAAAAGCCACATCTCCATCTAAGGTCACCCTGAACCAAGAGGAAGAACCTGACCTTGAACCCATCTGTCTGCCCCTGCTTCCAGCCAGGCTGCCTCCAGGGAAAGGTACCGGGCGCTGTGCCCACGCTTGCCCACACACCAGTCAGCCTTGTCCTCAACCACCTCCTGCCCGTCCCTGTCACAGCCCAGCCTCAATTCTTTTCCTGCAGCTGGCACCGGTTGCCATGGCAATGGGTTGTTTGGGAAGCTGTGGGCTGATGGGCTGTGCCGCAGAGTCAAGGATGGGGCCTGGAGGAGAGAGCAGCTGTGGGCTGCTTCCAAGAAAGCTGGGCAGGAACCTGGCTCCACCACCACACTCCAACAAGCCCCCAACGTGCTGCAGACCTGGGAACCCCAATTCTGGGCATCCGATTCAGATATATCATCTGAAGCAGGGAGAAAACAGATTTGCCAGGAGGTTCACTCCAGCATTACTTACAGCAGGACAAAACTGCGTATGTCAATAACAGGTAGCATTTGGGAGCTTTTTTTTTTTTTTTGTACCAAGCAGTGTTAAATGGCAAATGTGTCATCTCACTGAATCATCACCACCACCCCAGAAGGTAAGTACTTTTAATACCCACGTGTGACAAATGAGGGAATTATGCCCATAAAGGTGAAGTCACTTGCCTAGGTCATTAAACGAAGCCAAGACCTAATGCCAACCTGTTTGCCTCTGCGGCTCTGCTCATAACACGCTATGATGGCTGGAAATGAGCAAAGGAAGTCCAACCCATCCTCGCCTCCTGACCCCTGTGGCTGTGACAAATAGGTCTATAGACAGCTGTGACGCAGGGCTCAGGAAAAGAACAATGTGTACTGACTTAGAAAGACCTTCAAATACTACAGAGATTAAAAACAAAGTTCAAGCCCCAGGATGACACTGCATCGTACGAACCTGTTCGTATATAAAAACAGCTCTGAAGTTCATTAAAAGGAGACTGGAAGGGTACAAGTGGTGAGCAGTGGATATCTCCCGACAGAGGGCAATTAGCCTGGGAGGCATTAAAATGGACTTCTTCACTCCAGAGTAAAACAGTAATTAGGAAAGGTTTTTAAATTGTGAAATTTGGTGCATATGATCCTAAGTGAAGAAAAGATACATATGTATAGGAAAAAGATGGAAGAAAGGACCTAGATCCAAGTATTTACAGGAGTCAGGGTGAATGTTGGCATTATGGGGAAATTCTTATTTCTACCCTATTTTCTAGGATGAATGCATATTATTTTTTAAATTAACAATTATTGGTCTGGGGGCTGGGTGTAGTGGTGCATGCCTGTGATCCCACCACTAAGGAGGCTGAGGCAGGAGGATTGAGAGTTTTAAGACCCTGTGTCAAAAAAAAAAAAGATTAACAGTTTTGAGTGATGTTTACAAAGATAATGTAATAGCGTTGCAATGTAGTTATAGTGTAAGTAGTGACGAGCACGCAGGCAGCTCGTTAGTTCCTATAGGAACTAGTTCTACTAACTGACTGTCTGGCATTGACTAAGTCATTCACCTCTTGGACCCTCAGTGTGCACATCACGGAAATGGCTGTATCAGTACCATCACCTTCATAGGGCTGTTACAAAGACTGAAGATGGTCTTAGCACAGAACCCAGCACGCATTAAGCAAGCTAGATGATAACGTGGAAGGTGCTCGCACAGGCAGCACAGTAAGCTCTCAAGACAGACTGCCTGGGTTTAGGCCCTGGATGCCATCTTCCATCTGTGTGACCTTGGATCTGTTACCTTACCTCTCTGAGCCTCTTGTGAAGATTATATAAACCAGGCACTGGTAGCTCACACTGGTTATCCTAGCTACTCAGGAGGCAGAGATCAGGGGGATCACAGTTCAAGGCCACTCTGGGCAAATAATTCTCAAGAACCTATCTCAGAAATAACCAACACAAAAAAGGGCTAGTGGAGTGGCTCAAATGGGAGAGCACCTAGGTATAAAGTGTGAGACCCTGAGTCCAAACCCCAATACCACCAGCAAAAATAAAAACCAAAACACCCAGCATCTGGGCGCCAGTGGCTCAGGCCTGTAATCCTAGATTCTTCGGAGTCTGAGGTCAAGAGGACTGCGGTTCAAGGTCAGCCCAAGCAAACAGTTCACGAGACTCTATCTCGAAAAATAACCAGAGCAAAATGAACTGGAGCTGTGGCTCACGCCTTAGAGCACAGGCTTTGCAAACACAAAGCCATGAGTTCAAAACCCCAGCCCCAACCTTCCCCTCCCAAAAAAATACCTAGGACATAATATAAATTCAATAAATGTGAAAAAATTCAACTATGTGGGAAATATTCACCAAAAGAAGAAAGTGCCATCTCCTAGCTTTGGTGTAAATCCAGGTTAGGTGGGGTGACTAACGAAATTCGCATTATTATAAGTGAAAGAACAATGGAAAAGGAAGCAGTAGACAGGGCAAACATGGCTGGGAGTGACTCCACAGCTGCGTGAGCCTGGAGAAGTCTATTCACCTCCCTGAGCCTCCGTTTCCCCACCTGGTAATATGGGCTAATGCCTATCCTATAGGGTTACTGTTCACATCAAAGGAGAAGCAAATTTAACATGAGTTATGCACTTTACCCTGTCTTGTCTTGTGCCAGGCACATCACACCATAATCTCACCTAATCCTCAAAATTACCCCATCAAACTTGAATTAGTATTTCCATTTTACAGATGAGAAAATGTAGGTTAAAAAATACCCCAAGATCTGGGCCAGGTGTAGTGGTGCTTGCCTGTAATTGCAGCCATATGGGTGGCAAAGGCCTGAGATCTTATCTGAAAAATAAACTAAGGTAAAAAGGTTGGGGAGCAAGGCTTAAGTGATAGAGCACTTGCCTAGCAAGTGCAAAGCCCTGAATTCAAACCCCAGTTACACACACACACACACACACACACACACACACACACACAAATATACATATATCTTATGACCACTCAGGTAGGCAGTAGACAGAGGCAAGGTTTTTAAGACAGGACTTGCTGACAACAAAAGATAAGGGCCCTTCACAGGAATTCAGCAAACAGTTTATTTTCTCTTTCCTAACTTGGGGCCTCAGTTCACATAAAATAAGTGTACGAAGCCACGTGCAGTAGCACACATCTGTAATCCCAGCACTCAGAAGGCTGAGGCAGGAATGCAGGTTCCAGCCATGGCCATTCCAGGCGGGCGAGTCCCAGGCCACCCTGGTCTACATAGGAAGACCTTGTCTCAAAAAACAAAATTAAACTAAAAAACAGGTTCAAGAGAGAATGTTCACTAAGAGCTCTGCTCTGTTAATGCCACCATCACCTTGAGAGAAGTGGCCTGGCCCTTCCCATCCCAAACTTCCATGCTTAACTTACCTGTCCGGGGCAGCCTGTTTCATCTGGGCCATGCTGGCTGGGGTTGTCTGGGCTTCCGTCCATGCGCTGCTCTTGGGCACAGGACTCGGGACCTCTCCTTAGCTTCTTAGTGCTCTTGAAATTTCTCTGTCCCACAACTGGGCCTGTGCAGGCCTTGCTGTCAGCAGCCTCCAGGGAGGAGCTGAGGCCACCCAAGGGCTTGGTGGAGCTGACACAGGTGTCAGTGGTGATAGTGAGTCCTTGCCCTGGCCTCTTCCTGGACACTGGCTGGGCCTGGATCTCTGGCCCCTCCTGGTTGTGTGAATTAAAAAGGCCTTCCTTGCTGCCAGCCCCCACCTCGGGCTGTACTTCCAACTGCTCTGTAGAAGCCAGACCTGGCCCTCCAAGACACAATACAGGACCCTGTGTGGCCAGATTGTGGGACTGTCCTCCACAGGCCACTGGGAACTCAAAAGGGCCCTGGGGGCTGCCTGGCTGGGCTGCAACCCCTGTGGCCGGAAAGCATTCAAACACCTCAGCCACTTTGGTACATCCCACCCAGCTTCCTCCTGGCCCAATGTCCTTGGAAGACAGAGGCCTGCTGGGGCCTCCCAAGGACTCAAGGTCAGCACAGACTTTTGGGGGGCCTCCCACAGACTGACTGTCCCCACCAGGGCTCTGACCAAGCCTCAAGAAGCCACCAGCCCCCTCCCCACCCTGGGAACACTTCCTGCTTTTCTTTTTTGCCCTCCTAGGGGCTAGGCCAGGAGAGGAGAGCAGACTCCTTCCAGGGAGCTTCTCTTTGTTGTGTAGGGGGCTTCTTCCACTGCCTCCTGGAGACCCCAGGCCTTCTTCTTTGGCCTCTCTGCACCTGAGGCAGCTGGCCCCTTCCACCCCTGCTGGCCTCTCTATTCCTACTAGTGCTGTCTTTGTGAGATCTGGTGATATGCTATGAAGACTCTCGAGGCAGTGGGTAGCTAAGACATCATACAGGGAAACATGGAGCCTCTTGGAGGCCCAAGGTGTCCCACAGGAAGTCACAGTGGGCAGCTGCATGTGGAGCATGGGGCCAGGCGTGGAATCCTGGTTCTGCCCCACAGCTGGTTCTGAGAGCCCCAGGCTCGCCCCAGCATCTGACCTAGCCCTGGAGCTCAAACCTCTGTGGGTCTCCTCCTTGAGAACCCTCTTCCTACTGCGAGACCAAACCTGGGCCTCTGGTTTCAGGCCTGGCACGGAGCTGGCTCTTTGTGTCACATCTTCCTGGTAAAGCCCATATCTGTGTTGGGAACAGACAACACGGTCCTCTGTGCTGGAGCCCTCTACATCTCCCTCCTGGGACATGTCTGTCCACTTGCTGGGCCAAAAAGCACAACGCAGGCTGTATAGGGACAGAGAGGGGAGGTTTCATCATGGAGAGTCTAATGACCAGCCAGCCCACTCAGGACCCAGGCCTGTAGGATCCCAACTGTCAGCCTCCCTTCCAGGAAGTCCTCCGCCCTCCCCAAGCCCTACCACTTCTGAGGCCCAGAGGTGGGCCCTCCAGAGCATTTCGGACAGACCTGGCTCCCCCACCTCCAGACAGGGCTGGGCTAGTTTCCTACCTCTGACAAGTCCCTTAAATAGGATGGAGTAAGAGCAGCTACTGTTTATTAATGACTTCTGTGCATTATGTCATTTCAGACTGGCAGATTCAGAGAGGTTAAATGACCCACCTCAGGATACACAGAAAGTGGAAGGGTGGGATTATCTCCCAAACAGAAGGCCCCCACTCAAAACCACTCCGCATGGGGCAAATATTGAAGGACGTTCATATCCAGCACCCCTCCGTCCCACCCCCATCAACCAGTTTCCCAGAATTGCCCTAAACAGTCCCCACCACCCAGGGAACCTAGCCCCAGCTCACCCAGCCCCTCTCACCTGGGGCCACCGCTCCCTTTCCCTCTACTTCACCTCATCAGGTTCCACCCAACTAAGCAGGGGCTGGGATCACGTGATACTGGGGACTGGATGGGGAGAAATGGGGCGGAGTTTCTGGAGATCGGCAGATTGCGGCTCGCCACGGATGCTGGCGTTCTCGCCCGCAGGGGGCGCTGTCTCCCTGCTGAGGGCTTCCGGGAGGAGGTGCGTGGGCGAGGAGTTACAGGCGACAAGGAGGGTGATGGCCGGCCTGAGGGTTCAAACTGGACCCTATGGTGGGGGTGGAAGTGCCTGAATTCCTAAGGGACTGTCAGAATCTGTTTAGATTTTTTGCCTATTTATTTTAATATCATTAAAATATTATATAATATTTAATTATATAATATGTTATATGTATATATATATATATATAATTCACGTAGATGGAAATGCACATTCAAGCCTAATAGAAAAGTTAAGAATAAAACTTGTAAGCTTCCCCTAAACCCCCTTCTCCCGGAGAGCAACTTTTTTTAACCGTGTTTGTTGTTGATTTAGTTTGCCTGATTTCGTAACTTTGAATAACATACTCATACCTCTGTTACTTGGTTTTTCAATTTTAACAGTATTCATTGACTCCAGATATGATTTTACTAACCATTCTACCCCTTCTCCTTCCAGCTTTTCTTTTTTATGTTTCTAGTTTTGCCCTATCATTTCTTTTCCTTTTTTTTTTTGGCACTGGGGATTTGAACTTAGGGCCTCACACTTCTAAGCAGGTGCTCTACCACTTGAGCCACTCTGCCTGCTCTGTTGTATCACTTTGAATAATCTTATATGTCTGTTTCTTCTGTAGCTTTTATTTTTTTTGCTACCTTGCTTAACACTGTTCTATTTATCTCAGTGGCCAAACATAGCTCCTGTCTTTGGCTGTCCATGGTGTGAAGTGGTTGACCTTGCCATCCCTCCCTACATCTGCCCTAAACTTAATTCTCCAGGGTGGCTTACAGCACCCTGGAAAGCTAACTCAGTTTGCCATAGCTGACCTATAGACTGACTCTTTTTTTTTTTTCCCAATGCAGGGGATCAAACCCAGGGCCTTGCCCATGCCAGGCAAGCACTCTGCCGATGAGCTACCTTCCAGCCTGATTCTTAGCATTGAAAGCCAAAGGACATTCACATCACTAGAATAATGGAAATACTTCCTTTTCAGAACCAGGGATTGATAGGCCTTAGAGAGAGGAGATGGAATTCCCCAGCATGAACCCTGAGACCACTGACACCACAAGAAGCTTCCAGGTAAATGGAACACCACACCACACCACAGTTAGACTGAATGTGTTAGATCTGTAGCTCAATAAGGATGTCTCTCAATTTAATGTTGAATAAAAAGCAAGAAAATATTAATGAGAGACTGAGTGTGTAGTATATGGGACCTCTTTGTATTAATCTTCATGGTTTTTTTCTTTAAATTACAAAAAATTAAGTTTGTCTCACACACACACAACACACACACACACACACACTGTCACAATCTGTCTGCCAGGGTCAGAAATGAGGTAAGAGGGTTAGGTGCAATGGCTCTACCTGTAATCCTAACTACTCAGGAGGTAAAGATGGGAGGACTGAGGTTCAAAGCCAGCCCTGAGGCAGGATGGGGAGTGGGGGGAGTTTGCAAGACCCCCATCTCAATGATAAAAAGATGGGCGTTGTCATTCTGGCTACTCAAATAGGAAGATTGAGAGCTTTTTTAAAAATCATACCTAAAGCAGAAAGGGCTGGGGGTGTGGTTCAAGTGGCAGAGCACCTGCCTAGCAAGTGTAAAGTGCTGTGTTCAAACCCTAGTACCATAAAAACAACACAAAAGGTAAGAGTTGAAATTGGATGTCACTGATGACTGTAACTGCTGCTCTAAAGAAATAATTCTTTTAGTGAGAACTCCCAGTATGGAATGTGCTAGTCTTAAGGACACAGACCTAACCAGGTCCCTTAGGAGACAGTGATCTGGGCCATTCTGGTCCATTTGGGTAATGGAGGCAATGGAGTCTCCCACCACTGGGCAGAGAAAGGGAGTGTGGCATTATTCGCATCACAGGATGTGAAAATAAACACGATGGCTTCACACTTACACAATGCTACTTTGATTCAGAGATTGAGCTAAATACCAATATTGGCCTCTTGTTTACCCATAGTAACTTACCTACATCAGTCCTCAAACCAAATCTATGAGGTTCTACTGTTATTATTCTTATTTTGCCTAAGAGACTATAGACAGAGAAATCAAATAAGTTTATTAAGTGTGGTTCTGAAATCCAGCCACAGGGCTGGAGGTGTAGTTCAGTGTTAGAGTGCTTGCCTCACCTCTGCAAGGCCCTGGGTTTGATCCTCAGCATCACAAAGAAAAAACAGAACCCAGACAATCTCTGGCCAGCCTATTTTCTGATACCTTAAAATGTCTGATGATCGTCCAGGCTCACACCTGTAATCCTAGATACTTGGGAGGCAGTATCAGGAGGATCACCATTTGAGGCCAGCCTGGGCAAATAGTTTGTGAGACCCTATCTTGAAAATACCCAACACACACACACACAAAGCCTGCAGGAGCGGCTCAACTTGTAGAGCTCCTGCTTAGCAAGCATGAGGCCATGAGTTCAAACCTCAATACCGAGAAGAAGAAGAAGAAAAAAAAGCCATGGTAAGGTTTACCCAGGCTTTAGGCAATGCTATTTCCCCAGCTGTTTGTCCCCCTAGCTTCTGACAGCACCTGGGCTGCGTACCCCATTCCCACGTGGGTCTCTTTCTCAGCTCTCTGTTCTGCTCCATTGATCAATTTGACTTTCCAACCAATAGGCTACTATTTTAATTCCATGGTGCTGAGATACACTCCCTTAGGTTCTCATTTTTCATAATCATATTGGTTATCTATGTACAGTTATTCCTCCATACGAACTACAGAATTGTATTGTCAAGTTTGCTGAATAATTCTGTAGGAATTCATATTAAAATTTCATTGAAGCCAGGTGCCAGTGGCTCACAGTTCTAGGTCAGCTTGGGCAAAAAGTTTACGAGACCCCACCTCAATGAAAAAAAAGCTGGGCACAATAGTATATGCCTGTCATTCTAGCAATGGCAGAAAGTATAAACTAGGAGGATCACAGTCCAGGCTGGCCTGGGCAAAAAGTGAGACCCCATCTCCAAAATAACTAGCGCAAAAGGTCTAGGCAGGTGCTTTTTGGGCACCTGCCTAACAAGCACATACACACTGAATTCAAATCCCAGTACTACCTAAAAAAAGAAATGTCATTGAATTTACAGATTAGAGGTATAATTGAATATTTATTATACTGAGACTTCCCACCCATGAACCCATATTTCTCTCCATTCTTTCAGGTCTTTAATTCATTTTTGTGTCTTTTCTTCATTAGAATATTACATATTTTATTAAATTATTCTGTACTTCATAATTTTGTTTCTTATTACCTTTTCTGTTGGTTGCTGCCAACGTAAAGAAGGTCATTGTTCCTTAGTGACCTTACATTAAGGAATTTTGCTGAATTCTCTTATTAATTCTAGTTATGTGTCCATCGATTCTTTTGTAAGTGTACATCTTGTATGATCTTGTGGTCTGAAAACGACAATTCCGTTTTGTGATATGTCACATTCATTCTTTTTTTTTTTTTTCATTTTTCTTTTATTATTCATATGTGCATACAAGGCTTGGTTTATTTCTCCCCCCTGCCCCCACCCCCTCCCTTACCACCCACTCCACCCCCTCCCGCTCCCCCCCTCAATACCCAGCAGAAACTATTTTGCCCTTATCTCTAATTTTGTTGTAGAGAGAGTATAAGCAATAATAGGAAGGAACAAGGGGTTTTGCTGGTTGAGATAAGGATAGCTATACAGGGAGTTGATGCACATTGATTTCCTGTGCGTGGGTGTTACCTTCTAGGTTAATTCTTTTTAATCTAACCTTTTCTCTAGTTCCTGGTCCCCTTTTCCTATTGGCCTCAGTTGCTTTAAGGTATCTGCTTTAGTTTCTCTGCATTAAGGGCAACAAATGCTAGCTAGTTTTTTAGGTGTCTTACCTATCCTCACCCCTGCCTTGTGTGCTCTCGCTTTTTATCATGTGCTCATAGTCCAATCCCCTTGTTGTGTTTGCCCTTGATCTAATGTCCACATATGAGGGAGAACATACGATTTTTGGTCTTTTGAGCCAGGCTAACCTCACTCAGAATGAAACATTCATTCTTATTAACATCTTTTTGATAGGTTTTACCTTTGGTAGATTGGATCATTCCTTATGTCATAGTCATTTTTCTTTTTACGTTGTTTAGGATTTCTAGTACAGTGTTGAACGGCTATATGGGGAGCCTGGTCTGGTCCCTACTTCAGTGGAAAATTTCTGAAGTGTCACAATTAGATATGATTTTTGCTGTAGATTTTTG